TTGTATTTTTACAGTCGTATTGAATTTATATAGACATAATTGCCAAAATTTGCTAAATTTATCGAATTGTCAATGATTTATGCCAATTCGGCACAGGAAAGTTAGATTATCAGACAGATTGCGTAATACAAATTATCTGATGATCTCTTTTTTCTTGTATTGAGGTTTCCGGACAAAAATTATGAGGTAAAAAACTAAGAAGGGTCTGAACAGGAAGTTTTTATTTAAAAAATGTAATAGTTTATTTTTTGTTTTGTAGGGTTGTCAGACAAAAAGCACGACCGGACTTTTTGAAGTAAGAAAGGACTGGAAAAAAGTCCATTTTAATAAATTTATTTATTTTTTTTTTATTGTAAGGTTACTAGACAAAAAACATGACCAGACTTTAGAAATGAGGTAAGGAAGGGTTGAGGAAAAGGTTTTTCGTTGTTTTTTATTTTAATAAATTTAACTAATTTATTTTTTTCTTTTTTGTAATATTGCCGAACGAAAAACATGACCAGACTTTGGAATTTAGGTAAAAGAGAGGGCTGAGGAAAGGTTTTTCATTGTTTTTTCATTTAATAAATTTAATTTATTTATTTTTTTCTTTTTTGTAGTATTTCCGGATAAAAAACATGACTGGACTTTAGGATTTAAATAAAGGAGAGGGCTGAGGAAGATTTTTCATTGTTTTTTTATTTAATAAATTTCTTATTTATTTTTCTTTTTGTAGTATTGCCAGACGAAAAATATGTACAGATTTATAAATTAAGGTAAAAAAGGACCGGTAAAAGTTTTTCATTAATTTTTTCATAATTTATAGAGTTTCCGGATGAAAAACATGACCAGACTCTTAAAATTAAGGTGAGGAAGGGTCGGAGAAGATGTTTTCATCATTTTTTTTTTTTAATAAATTTAATTGATTTTTTTTTTCTTTTTTGTAGGATTGTCAAATGAAAAAATATGACCGGACTTTTGTAATCAAAGTAAAGTACCGGAAGAAGGGTTTCGTTATTTTTTTTTTTGATAAATTAAATTAATTTATTTTTTTTTATGTAGAATTCCCAGAAAAAAAATCATGACTGTTATTTTCTTTAAGAAATGTTATATATGTAGCGGGAGATCTTGTTTCTAATAAATAAATAAATTTGATTAAATTATTTATAAACCGTATAATAAAGTATTTTTTATTAACTTTTACATGTAATTTAATAATACAATATGTCTGTCAAATTGTATTACGTCTGTTGAAATGCATTACGTCTGTTAAAATGCATTACGCCTGTTAAATATATTACGGTTACATCAATTCAGATTTGGCACAGCTGCCGTATATTTCGGCATTCTAAGAATGTAATTCACGGAGAAATATAGTCTAGGCACACTTGTGTCAAATGAGGATCGTGAAAACCTATAATAGAGGTCACTGTAGTACCTGGCACATTAGTAAAGTCCATTGAATTTTTTATATATACAATTTTTAATAAAGCCAAAATGTGTGAATTAAACTTATCGTTTTAAGTTTAAAGTTAAATGCATGATTTATACACTCTATTTAGATTTTTATATATTCTGTGTAATGCAAAAAGATGGTTCGCATAATTAATAAATTTTTTAAAAAGTGGTTCACGTTATTATAAAAATTTTTTCAGAAAATTTAATGATCTCAGTTAATATTAATATTAAAAGAATAATTTATGATTCATTTTATTTTTCAGACATTTCTGTATAAGATTTGTTGGATTTTTAGTTTAATTACTTAAGAAAAATTTTTATTAATTTGGGCAAAACCATCATTTTACTATTGTCTGGTGATCTTTATTATAAGTTTTCCTGGTCCTGTTAAATAACACTTCACACCAAAAGAAATAAAATGAATAATAACAAAAAATAATATATAGATTGTAAAATTCTATTTAAATTTAAGAAATAAAAGCAATAAGCAAAATTTTTTCTTTTTGTAATTTTTAAAATAAATTTATAATTTATTTACTTTTACTTATTTAAAAATTAAATCTAAAACCTTTAATATATAAAAAATTAAATATTTTATTATCAAAGATTCAAAGTTATAAAGTTAAATATAATTAAACAATTTTTTAAAAAAGTTTATATTTTTATACCAATTACTTTTTTTATAAAAAAAATATAATAAAAACTTTAAATTTTTTAAAATATATTTATTTATAAAGATAATATATTTTTCTTTAAATATTTTGCAACTAAATTTACCTGCAAATTTTACTAATTAGTTAATAATATTTTTTTTGAGATGATATATTAAATTATAATAAATTTTATAGCTTTTTTTAAGTAAAAAAAATTTATTAATTAATAATTTTTTATAATGAATTATGTAATGTTAGAAATAAATGAGTTTAAAAATTAAAATTAACCAATTATAATTATATTATTTTAAAAATCTAAAAATTTTGTTAATCTTAAAAATATAAAATTGCTACTATTAGGTATATATTGATAAAAGGAATCTAATAAACTATTTTTTATGATTATTAGATGTTGAATATTTTAAAAAACCAAATTTTTTTAAAATTAATTTCATCTTTACAATTTAAGGGATATGTATATGAATTTATTTGAAATATAAATTTAGCAAGCCAGAAAAAGTCAATATCTTTTAGCTATACTATGGAAAAAGAAATTATTCTTTTTTTTTTTAATTGAACTGTTATATTATTTATTTGATCTAGCTTCTACAAATTGCATTGGTTTACCAACTTTTCATCTAAACTAAAAATCTTTCTATATCAGATATTTCTTGACCAATATTAGCCATCTCATTTTCCTGCTTTCCAAAAAGAAGAAATGAATTCCACAGAAAATTTCAAGAGCAATAACAGCAATTAATTCGGTCAATATCATTGCCAGAGCACAAAACACTGTTAAGAAAGGGAACCATAACTACAAGCTCAGCAAGCTGTGGTCATGCCAACTGGATAGATTCCAATTTTTTTAAGCAATATTGTTTAGGATCATTATGGAACGTATAATTCCTATGATGCAGAAGTTAACTCCTATGCTACTATAGTAGACTGGTTAAAAAAGCAAAAGCACAACTGATTATGAAACGGATGAACTGACCTTAAAATTGGAAAGGAAAAATCTTACTACAAGTACCAACTATTGACTTTCTCTTTTTTCTTTTTTCAGTTCCATATTACTATTTCGTGAATGAAAATGGCCATGAAATTCTAAAGCATTATTGTCTTTCCGACCAAAATTAATATAATAGACAAAGCTCACTGGATAAGCCCATCAAGAATTTTCCCAACCCAATTTCTAAGGCTATTTTCCAAAATTTATTATCTAAAACAAAGCTCTCTGTTTGTTTTACGTTTGACAGGAAAGAGAAGAATCTCTTTAACATGATCTTGACGTGAAGGTAATACACATTCAAACTCCCTTTTCCCTAAATCTCCAGCATTAACTTGATATTTCAGAAAGAATTTTTTACAAGCCCACAATACGTTCATTCTCGGTTACTAATGTTGCCCTTCAAAATTAGCTTCAAAAAGGGAACGTTAGTAAAGGTCTTGCTAACGTTCCATAACCCCAATCCCACCTTCCGTCCAGAATTCCAAGGCCGGAATCCGATATATATATATATATATATATATATATCTATCGTCAGAAGGGCATGCTTGCATTTCCTCAAGAAACGTGCTCATGAACAATTTCACGCAACACTTTAAAATATTTAATAAAATTTAGCATAAATTAATTACAACTAGACGTTAGAGATTCATTATACCAAATTATACTTACATATAATACGTGGAAGGACGACCGAGCAATAAATACGATTTTCTACCCAAATTTTGTTTATAGCTTCAACTTTTAATGGTATTTAACGTGCCACATTTAACAAAAAAAAAATTAAGAAAAGCGAGAATTCTTTTTCGCAGGCACGCCATATTAGTTTTGAGTTGCACGAAATTACTTGTGACTCCATAATGAACATTATAAAGAAAAGACGCAACTTTCGCATTAATAACATTTACATTTAAAATCCTTCATATCTAAAAGTGATACCAAAAATTTGTGTACCGAATGATATGATTCATATGATTATTGTCGAAGAAATCACACTCCTTGTAACACCGAAAAATCCGCAACAATTTTCTATCTTTCTTTTTTGCACTTTAACAACGTATTCGATTCGTTTTACATGTGAAGTTGTTATTGAAAACTAGAGTTTACAGGATTGTGTATAATCAAAGCGCCTAATCTTAAAAAAAATATTCCATAATTGAGAAATCTTTTCTCGATCTTAAACAATTTTTAATTAATAGTTCGAAATCAAAAAACTATAGAGATAACTTACTGTTGTGCAGCATTCTCGCTTGTTGAATAAATTCATACTATAATCCGATAGTCTTTATTTTTAATAATAAAAGACCCGATAAAAATGACAACTCGGATCTTTTTGCAAGAGAAACGTTGATCATATCATCATAACGCTAAAAATGTAATAGCTGAATACTTGAATTACTCAATATTCCCCATTATTCCTTATCAGTCGATATCGATTTCTTAGATAAAATAAAAGCTTGGCGTTTTTTGACAAATGATTTATCAAAAATCGATTATTACTTCAATCTTCAATATTACTAAAAAAAGTAATAACAGATAATTATGTATTATCGGGAAATCTAAGAATTCCGCAAACCTGCATGAAATCATTACGTAGTGCCGCATTAGACTTATATAGTTTAAATCATCCAATAATAGTTCATGCAATTTTTATAATAAACTCCCAATAATTTTATTATTATGCTAATACAGATACAATGAGATAACCGACCTAAATAACAATTGTAAAATCTGCATGAATAATTTTTAATATTATTTTAACTCCTCGATTGTTATTCCGCGGATCAAATGACAAAAAGCAAATTGCCTTGATTTATTATATATATAAATTACTGATTGATTATAAATAACTCCTATTTTTTCATAACTGTTTTTTTTTTTTAAAAAAAAAAAATTCTTTTGATATGGCAGAGGGACAACCACTGGTCTTAAACTATTCAGATTATGGTTCATTACCAAATGAAGAAACATACAATTTAAATAATGCATCAACTCCCGCGGTTTTAAATGATTCGCCACTCACACCAAATAAACGCAATTCTCTTAAAATTATACTTACTTGTTCATGGATAAATTGTTTATTAATATTTATACCATTTGGATATTTGGCTCATATATTTAAATGGAGCGATACTTGGATTTTCACTTTAAATTTTTTAGCTATACTTCCATTATCCAAATTATACGATTTTGCAACGGTGGATGTTAGTTTAAGAGTTGGTCAGTCAATTGGTTGTTTGTTAAATGCTACATTTGGTAATGCAGTAGAATTAATCGTTTCAATAATAGCATTATCAAAAGGAGAGATACGCGTTGTTCAAACATCATTACTTGGTGCAATTATTTCAAATTTACTATTAATATTAGGAATGAGTTTTGTTATAGGAGGATTTATTTATCACCAACAAGTATTTAATCAGATTATTGCACAAACCTCTTCTGGTTTAATGACTTTAGCGTGTATTAGTTTAATAATCCCTGCTGCTTTTAATTTTGCTGTCAACGGTAATACTTTTAATGATAATGGAGGAAGTACTAGACAACTTGTAGACTTGTCTCATGGATCAGCAATAATTTTATTAATAATTTATATTCTTTATATTTTTTTTCAAGTAATTATCCCAATCTTTCGGTGCAATGTATTTATTATGTGAAATTTAACTTCTTATTTTTGATTTATTAGTTGAAAACCCATTCGAATTTATATCAAATAGAAGAAGAAGAAGAAGAACCTCAATTATCTCTTAGTACTGTATTAGCTTTATTCGTTGTTGTGACCTTTATTGCAGCTTTATCTGCTGAATATTTAGTTGATTCAATTAGAGGAATGGCTGAATCTTCTGGATTAAGTAAAACCTTTATCGGTTTGATTTTATTGCCTATCATTGGTAACGCTGCTGAGGTAATTATCGCGATTTTATCGAGACTCGAAAAATTTTTCTTAAAAATCATTAATATGTGATTCTATCTTATCTAGTTTACAACCGCTATTAATGCTTCAGCAAGAAATAAAATGAGCTTTGCTATCACTATTGCTGCTGGTAGCTCTATGGTAAGTGATCTAACAATTGTGCAATGTATATTTTTACTGTGCCAACATTTTTTTTTTTCAATTTTTCTCTAGCAAATCGCACTTTTTCTTACGCCATTCCTTGTTATACTCGGATGGATAATAGGACAAGATTTAACTTTGTATTTTCAGCCGTTTGAAACTGTAGTATTATTCATTTCAGTTATTATTACAAATTATCTTATTCTGGTATTTAATTTACGCATTCTTTTATTTGTTTAAACGGTTCTTTTTAATTTAAATTCTTAGTAATGGTTTTTTTTTTAGGATGGTAAATCAAATTGGTTTGAAGGTGCTATGTTGCTAGCTACATATACCATTATATCTTTAGCTTTCTTCTTATATCCAATGAAATTGTAAAATAGCCACTTTAGTTAGAATGATATGAGAAGACGATATTGATTTTTCCTAATTTATATGATGCATTTTATACAGAAACTTTAATTTTCATATGCAACGATGTTTAACAATGCAATAATTATTATTTTATACCTTAAATTTTCGTTGGGATAAATTGTATTTTTTTATAAAAAATGTCTATTGAATTACACACATCTTGAACCCAATAAAAAGTTGATAGTTGAGTAAATCATTACCAGATCAGTAATAGTAACACTACAGTAACGCACTGATAAAAAAAGCGAAAAATCAAAAGGCAGCTATTTTTTAGTTCGTCTTTTATTATTTTAAATAAACTACGAAAATTTATACTCAATTAATATGGTAAGTTCTTATTTATTAAATTTTTTTAAAAAGAGAAAGAAAAAAAGAACATATATGGTAGGTTCGTATTAATAGGCAATATAAATTTTATTCATAAAACAAAATTTAAATAAACCTTGATAAAAAAAAAAAAATAAACTCTCATGCAATAGTTAATTGTTTGTCCAAGATCAAAATGGATAATTTCATTTCCAATTTGTATTACAAGCTTATACCATTTTCAAAATTATCCAATCATGAAATATCATAATTCAACTCAGGATAACAATTCAACATCTGCCGCCGATTTTATTAAGTTTGTGAATAATTCTCCATCGCCATTTCATGCAGTTGAAGAGGCAATAATACGTTTAAAAGAAGCAAAATATGAGGAAATTAAAGAATGTGTTAGCTGGAGGGGAAAATTAAAGAAGGAGGGAAAATACTATTTTACTAGAAATAGAAGTACTATTGTTGCTTTTGCTATAGGTGGTAAATATGAACCTGGAAATGGATTTTCTATGGCTGGGGCTCATACCGATTCCCCTTGTCTAAAGGTAAATTAATTCATAATAGAAATAAAATTTTTAAAATTTTATCTTTTTTTTATTTAATTAAACTTTCATTTAGGTTAAACCTATTTCTAAAAAAGTAAAAGAAGGATATTTACAAGTTGGGGTTGAACCTTATGGAGGTGGTCTTTGGTAAGAATAAAAGTTAATTTAAATTTATTTTTAGAATTTAGAATTTTATAAGTTTGATTTTTTTTTCTTTTAATTAGGCATACTTGGTTTGATCGTGATCTAAGCGTTGCGGGGAGAGTGATGGTCGAGACAGAAAAAAACAAATTTGAACATAAGTTAGTTAAGGTCGAAAGGTAATCTTTTTTAAAATTATATATATGTATTTGTATCCCAACTTATTCTAAATGAAATATAGGCCAATTCTTCGTATTCCTACATTAGCTATCCACTTGGATAGAGATGTACGTGAAGGATTTAAATTCAATAATGAAGTTCATTTAACTCCACTGATCGCAACCGTTTCAAATAAGTGAGTATTAAATTTAGTCTATATACGTATGAATTCAATTTATTTGATAAATATTTCTTCAAAAAGATTGGCAGAAAATAATGAGAAGCATCATCCTGCACTGCTCGATATTCTTGCTCAAGAACTTAAATGCAAAGGTAATATATCTTTAAACTAGGGAAACGGTAAACCGTTACGTAGCCCGGAGCTTATCAGTATATAGGTAGATAACCACATGCTCAATTAACCGATCAAGATAATTTCGTGTAATATAAGAACCAATTAAACGTCGACTCAAAGAACAAGCGGACGGACAACGGGATATTTTGTACCACCACGGCTAGAACATATAGGGTCCTTCGCTACGCTCCGGACTAATGAAAGTAAATAAATTATATATATTATTAATTTTCCAATTTTACACAATTTGTAGAAGTAAATGAGATCCATGATTTTGAATTGTGTCTTTATGACACACAACCTTCAACTATTGGGGGCGCTTACGAAGAATTCATTTTCTCTGCCCGTTTAGATAATTTGATGATGTCGTACGCATTATTGATTGTAAGTTATTATATGGATTTGGCATATTATTAATTTATACTAAACCATAAAAAAAATATTTTATTTTATAGGGATTGATTAATAGCACAAAAAATATTTCTGAATCTTTATGTGATGATTCAAATATTCGTTTAATTACTTTATTTGATAACGAAGAAATTGGAAGTACAACTGCTCATGGAGCTAATTCTCTTCTTTTAGAAACAACCTTGAGACGTATATGTAGCGCTTTTGCTGAACCTGGTTATGATGTTCGTATTTATTCAAAATTCTATTATAAACATAAACTAAATTTCCACATTACAACTTTAATAGACTATATTTGAAGAAACAATTCATAAGAGCTTTATGATTAGTGCTGACATGGCTCATGGTACAATATATTGTTAAATGTGTTTTATTAGATTATCTTACTAAGCTTATTAATATTTTTTCTTTTCTTCCTTATAGCGGTTCATCCAAACTATTGGTATGATAAGAAAATATTTAATATACTTATTTTGTATTAATTATTTCCATAAATTATTTAGTGAAAAACATGAAGAGAATCATCGTCCACAGATGAACCAGGGAGTAGTTATTAAGACTAATGCTAATCAGGCGAGTGATTTAATACAATATCACGTCTTTTGTGGCTTCTCATATAAACGTGTTTATATCTTTCTTTGCTTTAATATTAGAGATATGCAACTACATCTGTAACTTCTTTGATATTAAGGCAAGTCGCAAAAAAATATAAAGTACCATTACAAGATTTTGTTGTTAGGAATGATTCTCCATGTGGTTCAACTATTGGTCCTATGATTAGTGCCAATCTTGGGTTGAGGACATTGGGTATGTGTAAAACAATAGATGAGGATTTTATTGTTTAGCTAAAAAATAATTCAATTCATTTTTTTATTAAATAGATATCGGAAATCCTCAATTGAGTATGCATTCCATTAGAGAAACTGCTGGAACTAAGGACGTTGATCATGCTATCAAGTTAATCAAAGTAATAACCATCATTTAAAATAATTGTTTTAGTTATCAATTTCAAATTAATTAATTTAATTTACGCTTTTATAATACAGGCATTTTTTGAAGATTTTGCAGAGATTGATCGGAATATTACTGTTGATTAATATAAATTAGATGTTAATCATTTGATTTTCCTCACTTTATTCTCTCAAAATTTTTCGTTCTTATTTTTTGTCTTCATATTTGTCTCATAATCAACAGTTAACATTAACAGTCAATATCAACGATTTTTGAATCAATCCATCAAATATATGAAAATTCATATGAAATAAATATTTATTACAGTCAAGAAAAAAAAATAATTTAAGTGTAGAGATGAAGTAAAGAAAAATTGATCAAAGAAAAGAAATATTGTATATATTATATACGGTATATATTAGTTTTAAAGTTATATACACAAAAAAGAAGTTAAATTAATGTTTAATTAAACTATCACAAGTTTTTTTATAAAGAAATTTTAACACCACAGATTACTAAATATAATTATTATAAGGAATCATCCTCTGTTCTATTGACTATATGTTCCCTGTCAGTATTTGATATCATATTATTTGGGAATCGATCATTTATCATTTTTTTCTTTTTCTTCTTCTACAATTTGCTGTTTAAATTCTTCATCTCCTTCTGTTCCTTCACCTTGAATAATAGTTTGAGTTTCAGAGCCTCCATCCTTATGAATGATACGTTGAGGACCTTTCAAGCCTCCGCGTTGAGAACTTGTTGTTGTCATGCCTCCGCGTTGAGAAGTTGATGCGCCTCCGTGTTGAGGACTTATCGTCATTTGTTCGTGTGGAGTTTTTGTTGTTGTTTTTGATAATTCTCCTATTACATGTCCTGATTCATCAACTATAGTAGTAGCAACAGTATGTTTTCTACGAAATAATTTGGATAATCTACCAAGTCCGAGCTTCTCAAGCAATGAACCTGGTTTACTAATTATATTCTTCCACCAACTCGAACCGGATGAACTGGGCGATTCTCTTAATAAATCATCACTTGAATCACCTTTCCCTGTCATAAATCTGGGGCTTAATTTTTTCCACCAACTCGAACCGGATGAACTGGGCGATTCTCTTAATAAATCATCACTTGAAACTCTACTTAACTTAAGTCTCCTATCTTTCCTTCTCCTAATACACCATACACATAATCTCCATATAATTACATAAACTATTAAAATTATTAATGAAACTAAGGCAAAAAAGGGAACAATTCCGTAATCTAAAGCCATTATATAATATAAAACCTACATTATATATTAAACATAATATTATATAATTTATATAATTATGCATTTTAATAGAAGAAAAAAATAAGTATTTAAACACTTACAAGAACCGCTAATTGGGGTAAGTCTTTTAAGAAAAATCCAACATGTTCGATATCATCAATCTGCTTATTTGCTTTTTCTGATAAAGGAGCTTTAAGTGATTCTTCCAGTTTTGAACTCAATACCGTTATTGCATCTAAATCTACACCTGATAAAAATGTAAAAAAGAATGTGATCATCCTATGTTTTTCTAACCAAACATGAAACGCAGGATTTGTTTTAGATTCTCGACTTATTATAAATAACCCCAAACTTAATTTTATAACAAATGGAAGAATTAAAAGTAATACACTAATTAAAAATACAAAAAAATATTAGTGGTTTTGTATATCATTAATACAATGCGAAAAAATGATATAAAATTACCTTGCTAAAGCAAGTCTTTCTACATCTTTGGCATCTTCATAAGTATGAATAGTGTAGAATACGAATGTAACAAGTGCGAGAATAAATTTTAAAACGACACCAATTTTTGTCTCAATTTTTTCCTATAACATAAAAATTTTAATATATTATAAAAATCAATAAGTATCTAATATAATTATTATTATTTTACCCGTCTGTTTAAGCAGTAGACCACTGATATTAATAAAAGCACAACAATGAGGTAGACGGCAAATAGAATTATCTGAGTTCTATTATCTCGGAATATGTCACCTATAATATTTTTATAATTTTTTAAAATGATTTCAAAATGTAAAAATACGAATAAATAAATCAACCTACGTTTTCTAACAAATCCATAACTATAATCTAAATTTTTAGTATGTTCCAATTTAGATACTAAAGTTAGTCCACCATGGCTTATCAAAGCTTGCAAATCATTCATTATGCCTTCAGGACTTTCACCAATTGCAGTAATATTAGTAGTATTGTTATTAATCGGTCCAATTTTATATGCTAACAATATCCTCTTTTCTTTTGTTTTTTGATCTTCTTGGTACCGATTTAATGGTACTATACGATTTCCTTCAATTGGAACTATAAATGCTAATTCTTTGCCTAAATTATTCATAAAATTAAGCTTTCCTTTCTCATCAAGGGAATTGAATTTTTCTGTGCCCTCTGGAGATAATCGAACGAACCCTACCACTGATGCTAAAATAAAAAAAAAATTTTTTTTATTTACCTTTATTTACAAAGAAAATATACACGTGATAATGGCAAACTTACCTCCTACTATGATAGGACCAATTGTCATATTCTCTAAATTAGGAATGTAAGATATGTTAATTAATAAAGAAATATAATGAATAGTTTTAATTCATAGACATACCAGTTGTGATATTCCAAACGTTGTCCTGAATTCCTAATATAGGTTCACCATTATTCATAAGCCTTACTGCATCATATTCGACTATAATATGATAACTCGAATTAGGTTTATTAAAAGTACTATCAAATGCACCAATTATAAGAGTTTTATTATCACTGCTCAGTTTCGTAAATCCTACGGAAGCAGGATATGTTTGGCGTAATAAATGAAAGCCTGTTGCACTAAAATATTGATAAATCGAAATATTTTGCGAAGAAATAGCAATAGGTTCAGAATAAGTAATATTTAGTTTGGTTGCCTTTAGTGGAATTGTACCGTTAAGAGAAGGATATGTTGAAATAATTAAAGGATTAAAATATCCAACATCTAATTAAGAGAAAAAAAATATGTTTTAAGTGTTCTCTTTTTAAAAGAAGGTATAATTATAAATAAGAACATTTACCGCCTTCGATCAAAGATTTAGGGAAATCAGATGTCATGACTGTAAAGTTGTTATTATCGTGTTTTGTTACTGCTACGATTGTACCATTAGGAAGGATATCAAAGACTTGACCTCTTGCTGTAGTACTGATTGGTTGTGGTAAAGGCCTGGAATTTAAAGGTATGTAATTTAATTTAAGAACGCGAATTTATAACAAAATACTGATTTTACTGCCGCGCTTACCATTTTCCTTGGATATATCCTGTTGCGTTAAGAACATATCCGTATACTGATTGCTTATCTCTTTCATTATAACGCACAGTAAATAAATACCTGAAAAAGAAAAATGATTGAGAAAGATTGATCTCTATGCTACAAAGAATTACATATAATTTACCCTCCAGAGACTAATGACTTAAGATTCAATTCAGGTGTTCCCGTAACCCCTAATGCGGGCACTTCTTTAACCATTGTAGTAGCTCTGTAAAAATTAAAATGATTTTATGATTTGTATTATAAAGAAAAATGAAATCACGTGCACGAAAAATATTTACCCATTAGATCTAAATTTAATTCTTACTCCAAATAAATTTTCCAAAGATTCTTTTATAGAAAGATAAAATAAACAAGAATTTCCGTGACCTTTATAATCTATTCCACAAGTTACTGCCGTAACATTTAGATTTCGTACAGGACTTTGATAAATAACATTTGGTACTGGTTCTTTAATACCATTTGCATTTATAAAGTATGCATCAATACGTAAATTAATATTTGCTAGATCGAATGAAGCTACATCCGGATGATCATATGATCTTGCTAAAATTAAATAAAATCCATTCGCAAATTGTGAAAATCCAAAAAATTTAACATCTTTTGCTTTTTCTCCTTTAATTACTCCTTTGCGTAAAAGTTGAATTGATTGTTTACTTTGGATTGTACTATTATTAAAAAAAATCCGGTAAAAAAAATTTTTTTTTTTTAATCTATTAGGGGGGAAAAAGGTTTTTATCTTACAAAAAAAACAATGAAATAACTTACGGAAGAGCATAATGACTCCAAATAATATCACTCGTGTTCTGTTTTCTTACGTACAAGAATCCATTATTTTTATTACCTTTGGAATAATATAAAGGACCTGGCGGAAAAACTATTCCATTTAAATTAATGGTAGCTTTATCTATGAATGAATTACTAATAATTCCACAAAAATATGTATATAAATTTATTTAATTATAAAAAGAAAAAAAAAGTTTTAATAAAAATTTAATGATATGTGTATAATATAAATTTACCAGTTTACCTCAAAATTTTACCGCTCCAATTAATTAAAAGACCATAAACAGACGCATCTATACCACTTGAATTAAGATAAGTAACATAAACAAAATTTGGTTCAAAAGGCCAAACTTTAATATTAGGTTGATATATGATATCATTTAACACTTTACAAAAATTAAATCTAGGAATTTGTTTCGCTGGTATATTCAAAGAATTAACCGTTCCATTTGGATAAATTAAACGAAAATATAATTCGGGTTTATAACAATTTGCGATATTTCCACTAATCATATGTAATAATACAGTCCCATCATTATATGATTTTGTATCATAAATTTGATACATAGATGAAGAATCAAGAAATTCATGAGTTTCATATCCATTTGATAATGTGAAAAAATGAATTAAAAGTGTTAAAAAAAATATCGAGCGTGTCCTCCATTGTGCAAAATTCATGATGAATATTATGCAAATGGGAATTTTGATTTTTTTTTTTAAAAGAAAAAAATAGTTCCCACTGAAGTCTTACATGTCAAAAGGTCCGGACATCTGAAAGAGAAGTATTGAATTTTTTTTTTTAAAAAAAAAAAAAAAAAAAAAGATGAAAAACAAAATATTTATTAAAACTTACAAACTTATATATAATTGCACATTTTATTTCTTAAATTCGAGAGAATTTTCGTATTAACGTGTAAATAAGCGATTGCTTTTCTCATATTTTCATTTATTTATTTAACATAATCCAGTTACTTGCTTGTTTAATTGACTATAAGATCAATGTAAGGGGCCAATATTCCGTTAATTTTGTCTTAAAAATATAAATAATATGTTGGTCGAAACCATTTGATACTTTTCTAAAGCCTCACGATAACAAGTCTTGCGCCTCATAATCATTTAAAACACTAAAAAAGGTCATATTAATTATAATTATCACAATGTCTAGTTTTTTAAACGGCTGAGACATATAAGCCTCAGTGAGGCTTTCGGTGACAACAAACTGGTAGGTATATACATATTTATATAGAAATAGGAATTATTAAAAGAATGACACGATTCAGTGTATTGAAAAGTAACATGTTTTTAATTAATTTGTGGAAAAAAAAGGATGGCTTATCCATCTATGCCGCACTTAATTTTACCACTTATATGGCTGAACGCTTCAAAAAATTTGAATATTTTTTAATGGTCGATTGGGACGATTGAATATGTTTGTATTAAAGTAAATTAATTAATAATCGATGTTCAATTAATCCTAATTTTGCAGTTTATAAATACAAACTGCACATATGATTAATAGCAATCGCGATTTTATCTAATTTATAAAATCGGTGAAAATGTAATTTCTTTAAAATTTGTTTTTTACTTCAAATCACCGGGGGTGATCATCCCCGTTGGCCAGAGTTATCAATTTTTACCGGCACTATATTTTTTAATGCTGGTCGATCGTCATAATTTCAGCCACCGGTGATCATCACCTCCTGGTGATAGTTAGAACAATTCTTTCTTTAAAATAATAAACGTTTAAAAAAAGTTTAAAAAATTTCTTGGAGTGTATAAATTTAATGAGGAAACCTGAAAAGAAACTCTCTCAAATAAAAATCATGAATTAGGGATTGGAATCGATTATCGAAGATTTTTTTCAACCTGACGTTAAATCAGTAAGCAAATGATTGGCGCTTGGGAAATTGCTTTAGAGCAAAATTCTACATGTAAAAAAATTGTTGAGGATCGATTCTTGAGAATCGATTTTAATTATTTTGTTATAACCGATTCCAATCTCTACCATGATTGAATTTTGAGAGTTATTAGTACAATTTTTTTTTTTTTTTAAGATAAATAAAAGATGAATAATGAATAAAATCATGCTTGATATCGGATATTAGTTATGGTAATTCGCGGTCATGTCCACCTCAAGGATACGTGATCGTTATTTATCTCAAATTTTTATCTTATTTGTATTAGATCATAATAAAAATTGTTTCATAATAATAATTTTATTTACTTTAACTAAAGTGTAAACAGAACAACTTTTTATTGTATTTAAAAAAAAAAAATATTATAATAATTCAGTTAACTTAAACTATGATGCTAAGTAAATTTATCGAATAAAAAGAATGCTGTAACTAAGGACAACTAAACTAACCCAAATCAGAAATTTCCTTAAATTATTATATCTTTCGGTCCATACCGATCCTTCCTTTCTTTTCACAAACCAATCAAATCTTTTCCCAATATATCCCCATTCGTTTCTTTCGATCATTCCCATCAATCTACCGAATTCACTCATTATACGAATAAGTGAAGATTCGACCATGGCTAAGATATAACGATAGCCACCAACTGTGGATGTATGCTTGTAAGGTTGTTCAGTTAAGTGTAAATACATATCAGCAATAATGCTCGAGACAATTACAAGTGGAATGGATAGAAATGTCAAAATTGTAAAGGTATTAATAATTGGTGTATTATAAAATACAGCAAAGAATAAAGAAAATATCATAGAAACAAGAAAGAATAATATTGTTCCAAATAACAATTCTATGCTGTTTGGTACAATGTCGTTGTACGTTAATTCTGGATACATTTTAACCAAGGCACCATCTCCTGTCGCCCATTTATAAAATCTCCAGTAATCTCTATTGCCATTATTCCACCAAGGATGAGTTGCCATAACATTTGGTGCTGCTTGAAATCCTTTCCCATTTTTCGTGTTTTTAATAAAAAAATTTCTTTGTTTCAAACAAAAATCAATGTCTTCTCCTCCACCAGTCTTAGGAAATACTGGATCATAAAGTATGTTCTCATTAAATCGTCTAATGAGTAAATTGGCAGTTACTCCCCAAGGTACATCGTCATCCCAGAGTTCTGAAATTCCCCAAAAAAATGTGAGTCCTGATAAAGCCAATGCACTTGTATAAATGCTTCCATCTGCTGGTGGGAATTTTGTGTTCCCAATAAACCCACATGCATTAGGATGCTTTTTGATAATTTTTTCACATTCAAATAGGATATTTTTTTCTGGAACTACATCATCATCAAAAAATAGAACATAATCAGCATTGGATTCACGTAATCCACGATTTCGTGACAAACTTGCCCCCAAGTTTGTTTTGTTTACTCGAATTCTGATGAATGGATCTTTTTCATAGAATTTTTTTAAAGTAATAATATTTGATGAATTCGGATCATCTACTATTATGATGGTCGTTGTGGACATTGTAACAGGTTTTTTTAGGCTAATCATTGGGTCAAGATATTTTAAATTAACTCTATAACTTGGTACAATGACATCAAGTGTGAGCAATTTTGGTATAGGATTTTTACAATTTTTTTTCAACCATTCTTCAACTCTATTAACTGAGTTATTTAAGATATCAAAGCTCCAATTTGGATGATGGGTCCTTTCATATCTTGGATCTAAACTTCCACCAACAACATTTTGAATTTCAACATCTTCCAACATCATCGAACATCCCCATCGTCTATAAGTTTGAAACAGGTAGGGATCTCCATCTTGGTTTTTAAATGTTTTTCGTGGCAGAACTTCTCCATTAAATATATCCAAATGTACACGACCAATTACTGGAAACGTTGGAAAACCATGAAATGATGTATCAGTAAAAGTGATACATCCGAAACCACGCGGAACTTTTTTTTGAATTGAAATTTTACGATAAGCTTCATGGAATTTGTTCATCCATCCATTAGTTTCGATAATTACGTCATCACCGAATAAAATAAAATAATCACAATTATCGTCATATGCCTTACGAGCCAATTCTATCCAGATTTCACATATAGAACCGGGAGGAAAATCGAATTCCATTGTATGAATATCCGTAAATCCATGTTCATTAAGTATTCTTTCTGCGGGATTATTTTTTATCGGATGAAAAAGAGAATCATCATTATCTATTCCGACATAAATTTTAATTTGGTATCTTGTTTCACCAAATCTATCTTGAATATCTTCTTGGGAAGTCTCATAAAGACTTTTTGCAAAGTTTGAAAGATTTTCGAGGCAATCCTCAGGTTTAGTTAGCCCTCGAGAAGTTATTGGTAAAAGAACACCAAAGGTTATAGTCTCATTGTTATAATTTAATACGTCTACTTTACTTTCAAGATAGGTCCTTACTAATTCGTTCCATGAATCATCTTTATATTGATGACGTTGTTTCTCGAGTTCTTGTTGGATCCACAAAGACGTTTTTTCCATACCTTCACGAATAGTATGTTTTGGATACCAATCAAGATATTTGCTGACCAACGTATTATCAGAATTTCTATTATTCACACCAATAGGTTTACTTTCATCAAATTTCAAAGTTACTTTATCACGGGTAACACCAACCGTTTCAAACGCGACACAAGCTAGTTCATCAATTCTAATTGATTCTTCCGAACCAATATTTAATGTTAAATCAAGATCACTTTTCATAAATTTAATAATAGCATCAACACAATCTGCTATATATAAAAAACTACGTCTTTGTTTTCCGTTACCCCAAATTTCAATTACATTTTCTTTTGTATATTTACTAGCACAAATAGCTTTTCTTAATAAAGCGGCTGGAGCCTTTTCTCTTCCACCATACCATGTTCCACCTTCCCCATAAACATTATGAAATCTTGCAATTTTGAATTGAGGAAATTTTGAAGTAGTTTTATTTTCTGATGAAGTGGAGAGTTCTCTTAAACTAGATATAAATATTTCAGTATTCAATTTTTCTGCACCATAGGATTCTTGCGGTTTCGTATCTATACTATTACAATTCCAAGTACTATCATCTTCTTTTAATTTTATATCCTCATTTAAATTAATTTGTTTATTATAAGGATATACACAAGCAGACGATGCATAAAAGAATTTTTCAATATTTGATTGCATTGAAACTTGAAGAATATTTAAAGACATTATATGATTTTCTTGATATATGACGAAATTATTTTTTGAATTAATAACACCGACACCTCCCATATTTGCTGCAAAATGAAATACCCATTTTACATCATTTTTATTAAATAATTTACGACAAGTTTCAATAGAACGAATATCTCCTTCAATAAATTCTGAACAGAATTCAGAAGTATCTTTATAAAGACGAAATGTTGGATCATCATGTAAGTCGATTACGCGTACGTAATATCCTTGATCATGTAAACGTTTCGCTACATGACTTCCCTATAAATGATTAAAATTTTAAATATAAAAAATATAAAAAATATATAGATTAATTGATTTATATTAAAGAAAGTGAATAATATAACATACTATAAAGCCATTTCCACCAGTTATTAAAATAACGCGTTTTTCAGAAACCATTTTTTTTTTATTAATAATTTCCTTCAAAATTTAACACATATACCCATTTATATATCTGAAAAAAACTTTACGAATGCCCCTCATCTTTTTGACGTAATGACCCTGCTCTATCAATTATTCAGTTATCCATCAACTCAAAAAAATATTCTAACATCATCTTCTTTTGTTTCCCAGTTTGGTAATTCTATTTATAGAAATGATTTCTCTCTCTTTTACATCATAATTGTAGATCACTTATGAAATTTACGTTATATTTTCACACTTACAAATTCAATTAACCAATTCTTACATAAACATCAGTATAAGATCAGAACGAGATAAAATTAAGGATTTGTAATGTGGTGCAATGACGTTAAATCGCTGGTATAACGCATAAGAATGACAAAAATAATGTTTCTTCCATAGAGAAAAAAACAAATTCAAAAAATTCCCATAATACAAAGGACAGAACCATTCACAGTTTTTACAATGTTGTCTTTGAACCTAACTCTACCTAAAATAACGCAGGCAAATAACAGTTAACGATTATGAATCTTGAGTTCTTGAAAACGATGTTAATTTCACGAATATCACGTGATAATTTGCAATAACTAACGAATAACGACGCAAATGTATCGTTCTTGACCTGTGCGACAGGTCTAACTTGACTCGCAATAATATATTTTACAATAAGGTAAGATGATAGTCAAGTTCGATGCTTTATGCAGTAAATTTCATCTCACGTGACTTTTTGCCAGAGTTATGATATTAACTTGGCAGAAACTTGGCGTTATAGAAATTATGTATTTTTTTACACTGAAAAATCAATGAACTAAATGATCACATAAAATATGAGAATTTTTTTTAGCTAGTATCAATTATTAAATAATTACAATGTTTACTAAAAATAAAATATCGTCAAAAAACTTATTAGTTAATATCCTAAAAGTTTCGAATTCATAAAAAAGAAAGATTCTATCCGAGTTCCGATAGACGATCTTTATGATTTTTAAATTTAGTATGTGGGGATTCTCGAGAATTAAATCATTTTCGTAATACCTAAAAGAATAATACATGCTATAAAACCAGTTTTTTTTTTAACAATTATGTATTAAATCATTAATACACGTGTGTGAATATAAATTTTAAATGTCGATCTAAATCAAACAAATTTGATTTCCGGATAACCAATTTACAGCATATATATTGTAGTATTCCGCCTTCGTATTATAAATGATCATTTACTGTTTATGAAAAATAAAATAATAAAAAATAACACCCTTTTGAATCTAGATCGAGATTTAAAATTCCTAAATAAATATTCCGATATATACACGTTATAAACTTATAATCTAAAATATGAAATTATGGTATAACAACAGTAAATGATACACAGTGAAATTTGATATAATGGAACTATCCGTTCCATTAGTAAAACTTGTCAAATTTGACAAAAATCAGTTATATCGAGAAATCCGGTATATCGAAGATAAATTAATTATAGATTATGATAATCCGTTCCAGATCCCAATTCCGATATATCAAGGACTTTTACTTATGTTCCGCTATATCAAGGTTCCGGTATATCGAATTTCATTGTGTATAATTTTTAAATAAATAAATAAATATATAATATATATATATATATATATATAACGTTTATTTATTTATTAAATCTCGTTCAAATTTATTTATTTCACTTAAATAAACAAAATTTTTGATGACTTTAGACCATTATTAGGCCACAACTCTTAGGGCTCAAAGAATAAATTCTTATACCTTCAGTTTTCGTATCATACTCAAAATTGTAAAGATTGTCACCTTAATTTAAATTGTGCATGAAAAAAAGATTTACATAACTTCATGATACAAAGCTTTTTAAAGTTATATATATGCTGTATCTTATGCTGTTTTGTGTAATAAATACTGTAAACCAAGTTTCTGAATTTACTTAAAACGTATTAATTCATTAGTACACGACTACACGTGTGATCATTGTATTTTAATATGAAAAATTGTAAAATAAAGAAATTCTTTAAAACGATACGTAAAATGGAAATTTGAAATCGATCTCCAAGTAACTCATAATCATATTTGTATTTCCGCAAATAATAAAAAAAAAGTATGATTTTTTGTTAATCATTCGTGAAAATATAATTCCGGAAAAATATTTTAAATTTTTACTGCAATGAGCATGTCGGTGTTATATGAAAATTTGCAGATCTACTCAATTGCGTAAGATGGCGCGAGTATTATACAACAAACCTATTAAAAAATGTAACCCTCCTGCGCAATTTCGAAACATAAATATTGTGCATTAAGGATTTCAATATGCATATATAGTATCATGAAACTTTAAATATATTATAGTTTGATTATCGGCTGAATATTAAGCAGAAACTTTATTTCGTCTACCGTAATTGCTTAATTATTTTTAGTAAATATATTATGAAAATGATATAAACGATAAATATTTTCTTTATTATAATATTCCGACTGTCACGTATAAATGACGGTATTTCAATTGTGTCCCTGTATCACTCCCTGGATTAGAGGATTGACCTCCACTGTTGATATCATCCACGGTCAACTGATCCATAACTTCCAATTTCAAGTAAACGTAACGGACGGTCAAAACTTGAGAACCTGTATTGATGATAAAAGATACTGTACATAATTTATTAAATCTTTCTAAAAACTATGTTAGTAATATATCATCTGACACAAGATTAATGCTCATGATTATTTAATGATAAATAAACAATTAATAATCCTAAATAAACAATTTACAATATCATTTTTTTTTTTTTGAGTATGATTTTTATTTAATTTCTTTGCAAGCTTGCAAGCAAATTAATAAATAACATATAAAAATTCTATTAATATAGTATCTAAAATATAAAAAATAAGTTTTTTAGTTTACATTTCATGGTTATATTAATATTTAATGCTGTCGATTTTGAATTTTCGAATGTTACAGTATATCGGTTGATTATTGATTCTCGAAAATTCAGACGAAAACATCTAAAAAAAAAACTTTATCTAGTAATATTTAAATTGATAAGATAGATCTTCAGTTCACATTGGAAATTCAGATACGATATTGTTTATAATTCCGGAGTCGGAAAATCAATTTTAGGTACAATTCAGGATTCTAGAAATATCAACTTTAAATCATTTGTTAATGAAAAATTTTTTTATTATTTGTGACAAAATTGTTATCTGAATAAATCAAATTTTTTTTATTTTAAAAAAAAAAACTTCTACTCGACCAAAAAAAAAAAAGGGACCCGACCCAAAAAAAAACCGGGGAATATCTACCTAATAAGGAAAAAAATTTTTTTTTGATGTAACGATAATAATTGTTAGAACGGGGACTCCTAAAGCTGATCATCAACTTACACATATTTATCTCTCCGAGATTGACAAACTTAAAAAATAAAGCCATAAAAATTCTCACAATACACACAATACTATGGTACAACTGTATGATCATGAAAGGTAAATTTAAATTATAAAATCTTTTAGCCGAACTTTTTTTATATTAAACAAAGTATAATAAATTATATCTATTAAAACCATAAAATTTTCCAAAATGAGAATATAATAATATTCACCCAACATTGTTACGCAAAATTAATCATTGAATTCGTAATGTTACGTGTGGAGGAATGTATTTCAGATCTCCAATGAAAATTTTAAGATATTTTTAATCTGGGATACTATAATTAATATAACCTTTTTTATTAATAATTATTAGCCAAATGACTTAATTTGAAAGTGAAATGAATTAGATATCCGCCGTTTAACGGATATTCATATTTTAAGGGTCAAGTGAGCAGAATGTGAAAATTATTTCAAATTTATATATATCCGAGCCAATTATTTTATATAAAAATTTCTAAAAAGATCCTGAGATGGTTGAGATAGCCAAAATTCACAAATAATTAATATTATTTAGTAAATTATTATATAAGCTTATTTGATTTTTTATTTATTAAAAGTGATCAAAGTATCAGCATTACATAACAACTGTTAATAACGCGTGGTTATAACATAATTTATGAACACTAAGATTTTTGGTTTCTCATAAAATGAAACTTGGAGCGAACTCAAATGTTTTAATTAGCATACATTTACTTAGCATACATTTACTTAAGCATGCATACTGTTCATAAAGGAAACATGAATAGATTCTAGATTCAGGCAATTATCAGTTAATTATGTTCTAAATATTATCGAAGCAAACATTTAATAAATAATAATTTTCCAAATAAAAAATATCAATTCGTATAACAATACTTTAAGCCCTATTAAAACGATTGGATGTTGATTTGATGAGTCCCTATTGATGCACATCATTATTTAATAGTAATCAATAAAAAGGACATGATTTACGAAGATCATTGTTAAAAAAACTTGTTTCTCCGTTGTATCTTCTGTATAAAGTAATGGTATTATTAAGCATTTGTGGGCCCTCAATATCTAATAGAATTAAATATTTTTTTCTGGTGTAACAATTGTTTTACAATTTTTTTTTTTTAAAAAAATTACATTCGTTCATAAAGGATAACACGACGAGAAATGTATTATACAAAAACTAATTGGGAAATGATTTAATTAACTGGAAAATTAAAACCTGAATTTTTTAAAAAAAACAAGGGACCAGATTTATAGCAGATACAGATGCAGTACTGATACGGTTAGATTGTGGCATTTGTAATAAAGATTACCTTCTTTGTTCGCGTGTGTAATACAATAGGGTTAAATTGTGGCATTGCGTCTGTTTATGAAATACATATAACCGGTTAAGTATGCACCTTTATTCCATTTAAAAGTATGTTTTTGTTCACACACGGAATATTTGGATGTAACAGGATTTTTTGGTCCCAATTTCTCGATTCAAATGTATTAGGTAAAGTTTTAGGTAATTGACCATTGATGAGCGACTTGCACAACCAGATGGCTTATTAATAAAGTAATGATCATTAGTCATATCGGAGTTACCACCGCTAATAGGATAAAGCTTATCCGAAATTTCGTAAAATGGAAAGAAAGTTATCATGAAATAAAAATTTGCTACTTCGTAGCAATTCATACGCATAATTATAAAAAAGAAAAAAAAAAAAATGCTTAGTAATACATTACCAAAGAATCTGTATCACATGATTCACATGATTTTACTTTTTTTGACATAGCGGATAGTATAGCATAGGATAATTAATTAAAATAATTAAAATCGTCTCTTTCTTTGAACGTACTTACTATATTCATCATGTAAGTTTTTTAATTGGTAAATAATTAGTAAATTAATTACATATATATACTCATAATATATTAAAATTTCCCCCTTCGACATTTTATTATTTTATTTTATTTCATTTCATTTCATTTTATTTTACTTTATTTTTTTTTTCTAAACAATTTTATTAACAATGGGGAATATATTTTCGAACAACAAAAAGAAAAGTCATTCGAGACGTGAAATAAAAAAAATGGAAAAAGAACCATTAAAATATTTTTTTCCAAATTTTGTAAAGGATACAGATATAATGGTCATTTTTCATTTTCTCGAGTGTTACCTTTTCCAAAATTTGTTTAGTTCACCAATTGAAAATAGTTTGCTTAATGAATGTAAAGTTTTAGATGTTGGGTAAATTAAATAATTTTTTTTTTTTTTTTCTTTTTTATTATTTATTTCATTATTCTAATTTTATTATATTAAAGATGCGGACCAGGAACTTGGTTACTTGATTTAGCAGCAACTTATAGTTCAGCAAGGTTCTTTGGGATCGACTTGTTTCCTATATTCCCAAAAGAAGTAAGTAATGAATACTAAAAAAAAACAATTAGCAAAGTTTGTGACATTAACATATAATTAATTAATCATTAGATTAAACCAAGTAATGTGGAATTTAGACAAGGAGATGTTTTGAACACACTTCCTTATGATGATAATACGTTTGACTACGTTCATCAAGCGAATATGTTAAGTGTCTTTACAATAGAAGAATGGTTTTTTGTTATACAAGAATTAATTAGGTAAAGTTTCTTAAATAAAATTTCAAAGATTTTACTTCTTTTTATTTACTTTTTTATTCTTTTCGAAAATCAGAGTATGTAAACCAGGTGGTTATATAGAGTTCTCAGAACCAGAATTGGCAGTAAAAACAGGGCCAGTACTTTCAAGGTTCTATGATGCATGTAAGTTAAAAAAAAAAGAAAAGAAATTCTTAAAATATTTTAAATTTAATTAATTTATTTGTTTTCTTTTTTTCCCTCCTGTAGTGGTTACATTAAGTGATTCTCGTAATGTAAAAATTCGAATTTCTAATGAAATAATCAAAACTCTAGTATCATTATCAACAGTGAGAAATGTAGATTATAAAATATCTACAGTAACGTTAGGCGCTAAAAAAGGAGGAAACGCAGGACAAGCGTACATGGATATACATGATGGATATTTTCTAAATGACCCTATGCCTGAAACTTTGTGTAAATTCATGGGGACTACAAAAGAAGGATATTTAAAATTATTTAAAGAAGCTAAAAAAGAAGTTAATGAAACTTTTGCGCCTAATTGTGAAATATATAGAATATGGTGTCAAAAGATATAAGATAAAAAAGGTTCTCACGATTTTTTTTTTTTAATGATGATCTCGGTGTTTATAATTTAAGAAAAAATTTTCGTTTTTTGTAGATTAAAAAAAAAAACTCTAGAGCTAGATTCTTATTATGATTATATTATTACTTAAAAAATTTTAAATTTTAAAAATTCAATATCCTGGTGACTGTAATTTTTTTAATTTTTTAATAAATTATATTATATATAAATTATATTTATTATATTACAATCAAATATTCAGTATTTTGTACTGTCCATATTCGGCCAGTTATTTGATTCTCCAAAAAAAAAAAAAATCGAACCACAAAATCCCGGATTTTCTTTCGATCAATAGGAATTAAATTTTGTTCCCGAAATTTTATAAAGATAAGATTTTTTGATGAATAATTAATTCGTAATACAAACAAACGAACGGAACCGTTTCACTACTTTTTTTTTGGTTGGGTATATCGGGGATAGCTTTTAGCCAATAAAAAAATTTTTTTACTTATCGGATATTAGCGACAAAATTAGAAAAATTAGAATTTAAAATGAGGTGTATGACTATTACATGACCATTTACATGATCATTTCGTAAAGAGTAACTCGTCGCACGGTCTGATCGGTAATTGCTTAGCGACTTTGTACATCAATAAAAAATAAAAACCTAGACCCGGTCAGATTTTCAAATATATAACCATACAGTATATTATTTATATGCATATCAGATATATATAATATATATAATTTATAAATATAAATAAATATATATAATAATATCATACGACGATCATAATTATTTATATATTTATATATATGATATATGATCATTTTATATATATATATGATGATTTTTTTTTAAAAAAAAAAAAATTATAAGTAATCGACAAAAAAAACAATGGGAAATAGTATCCTTTCAACATTAAATAAAACTCGCAAAATGAAGAGAGGTTCATCGTCAAAATCATCAAAATCCAAGGAAAATAACAATAATCGTCAAAATGAACAAAAACAACTCCAATATTATCTCCCAAATCATGTAAAAGATACCGATATAATGGTTATATTACACTTTCTTGCACGTTATCTTTTTCAAAGTATTTTCAGTGCACCAATTGAACATAAATTCTCCCAAGAAGATTATAAAATCTTGGATGTCGGGTAAATAGAATATAATAAAACTTTAATAAAAATTTTATTTTAAAAAATAATTTTATTTTAATATTATAATTCTTTTTTATTTTCATGTATATGATAGATGCGGTCCAGGCACTTGGTTATTGGAATTGGCGACAGTTCATAAATTTCCAAAATTCTTTGGACTTGATTTATTTCCCATATATCCAACAGAAGTAAGTATATGAGAAACTTTTTTAATGTAATGCAACAAAAAGAAATTAACATTATATATTATATTTTTCATTAGATTAAACCTGATAATGTAGAATTTACACAAGGAGATGTTTTGAAAGGACTTCCTTTCAGCGACAACACTTTTGATTACGTTCATCAAGGGAATATGTTAAGTGTATTTACTTTTGAAGAATGGCATTCTGTTATACAAGAATTAATAAGGTAAATTTCCCCCCCAAAAAAATGGTTTTGCGAAATTTTTATTTTCTTTTTATTTATTATAAATTTATTGATTTTTTTAGAGTATGTAAACCGGGTGGTTATATAGAATTCACTGAACCTGAACTAGCAACAAATACAGGACCAATACTTACAAGATTTTATGACGCACGTAAGTCAAAGAAATTTATTTACTCGAATAAAAAAATATATGTTTTTTTTTTATCTGATTAAATTATTTATTTTATTTGTCCTTTTTTCTCTTGTAGTAATCACATTAAGCGATTCTCGTAATGTAAAAATTCGAATTTCTAAAGAAATAATCAAAATTCTTGAATCATCACCAACAGTAAAAAATGTAGATTATAAAATTGCCACAGTATCATTAGGAACTAAAAAAGGAGGAAACGCTGGGCAAGCATATATGGAAGTACATGATGGATATTTTTTAAATGACCCTATGCCTGAAACTATGTGTAAATTTATGGAACTTTCACAAGAAGAATATTTAAAATTATTTAAAGATGCTAAAGATGAAATTGAATCTGGTGTTGCACCTGATTGTGACCTATATAGAATATGGTGCCAAAAAGCACAATAAAACAAATAAATATGTTAGAAATAATGGATGGTTATTAGGTTAGACACTGTCTCTTATACACATCTAGATGTGTATAAGAGATTAGTAATATGGTTTTCATACGATGAATAATTATTATTTACCCTTGTTTACTTTTGTTTTTTATTGATTAAAAGACGATAATTACTGTAGTAAAAAATTTAAGATAGAAATTATAAATAATATATGCTAGACCTTGAAGGTCTATTACCAAATATAGTTTCACCTAATGGAAATTTGTAAAGTTGTTTTACATAATAAAACACAATTATCTTTTTTAAATATAAGATAGTGCCTACATACGATAAAATCAATAACTTTTTGCCGAGAATCGCTAAAAATCGTCTATTGTATGACATAAACCTATTAACTATTAAAATCAACTTTTGTTCACGTGGAAATAAAATTTATGCATGTATGATGCATTATGCACTATTAATTAATTTATTCCATCAAATAAAAGAAGTTTCAACTCGTAAAAATACTTTTACGTTTCTTTTTAATTTCCTTTTCCTTCTCTTTTATTATTATTACTATTTTTAAATTTTCCATATTTATATTTATTGAAGTTTAAGAAGTTGTAATTTTTACAGCAATGAAAAAATTTTGACCAATTGACTGACTTTGTATTTTATCAATATTTTGCTGCCACAAAACATTATATTATAATAAATAGGATAACAACCAAGGGAAAACAATGGTCCCGTTAACTCTTAAATGTTCCACGGATGAAGTAAGAACCATCTGAAGATATCGTCTTGGTAACATAAAGTCGCCACTGGATATAACGAACCTGCCGTTTCAAGTGTTTTGGTTTGGTATATGGTGAATTCAAAATATGATATTCATATTACATACCGAACTGTTCGGTATAGCAGATATAATATTTAAAGTTCGGATGATATCATAACACTATGTTTTATTTGAAATTTATGTGCAGCTATTCAAATGAAAATAATTTTTCCGGTAACGAATTAAAGTCACGTGATAGTTCGGTACACTAAATATGTAACTGGTATATTAAAATGCGGTATATAACAATTTATTACGTGATTTCGTTATATCCAGTGCAATTAATTATAAAAAAATCGGTTTGCCAAACAATACACTGTATTCTTCTTTCTTTTCACAATTCTGTGAAACTTTGGTTGTTTTTGGTACAAACAAGTTCGTTCGACTAGAGGTACGATCCGAATTCTAAAAGACCATCCGGATTGAATTCGGATGCTCATTAGCACATCCGGATTCAATCCGGATCGTCAAACTAATCTTAATTCTGGCCGAAATTGTAATTTTGGGCGAAATTGAACGAGAGTTAGCTCTGCCTAAACTTTTAGTACTGGCCCAAGCTAACTATAATGCTGGTCAGAATTAAAAATCGGATCAATCCGTCAAAAATAATCGGATACGGATATCCGATTTCAATTCGGATGAACGGATCAATCCGAATTGACCGGATTACGGATCGTAGCACTACGTTCGACTATGTATCAACCGATAATTTTATTGGTGGAATTGTTTTAATTGTTTTGTAATTCGACAATAACAGCACATTAAAAAGGTTATAATTATTTATATATCATCTAGACCTTTTTTTTTGTCACTTCTTTTCATTCATATCTCTCAAAACTCAATCAGTAATATAGCACAACAATCATTGTTCAAATAATCAAATAATCTGTCATGTGATATTTAGTACATATATAATTCCGGCAAGCAGATAAAATTACGGTCTGTGTTTCAGCCCACACTACAGATAAAAAAGGATTTGCGACAAGCTGAGACAGACATTAGAAGTAACTATATAAGCATCAGAATGAGTCTATACTCTATATATATTATGAATTGAAGCACGTGAAGAAAGGATTACAGAATTGATCTTGTATGACATTTGGAGAATACGTACAACCCAATACATATGGTATTGGAGTTGAATTGAGAGACGCTTCCAAAGGTGCCAGAGATAAGAACAAAAGTCTGAAAGAAAATGAAATAGCTTATTCATTATTGTTAAATCTTTTTTTTTTTTTTTTTAACGTTTGACAATGAGAATGAATTCGACATCAATGTAGAGTAAAAAATAAAAGATGAGATGATAAATGATAGGAGAAACATTTTGGAAATAACCACCAATTCAATAGTAGTTCTAATATTCACGTTCATTTATTTTTGATGAGTAAATAATGCGTAGGAAAATTTTTGAAAAGTACAGTATTTTTTTTTTTCTATTCAAGATTTTAATATGCATTAAAAAGATTATAAAGTTTGGTGAAGGGTAAAATATTTGACAATAGTCTTAGAAAGAGAATTTAAAATTTTTTTCAACTGTTGTTAAGAGTATGCTGAAATCTCTATATTTATACTCATATACAATATATTAAAAGCTGCTGTTAAATAAACCGGGATCTTAATAAATATCATTTTCATTAAAATTGAATCATCTGATATTATACATATACTATTTTTCTAAATTATAGTATTTTTTATAAATTTTTTTAATATGTAATTTGCAAGAGACCGGGCCTGAAGAATCCTGATTGGTTTTTGAAGCTTGAGATGTAGTATCCTGGCATCTGGTAATTTTTTTTGGACAGGCCCTTGACTTTTCTCAAATGGGACTTTAGGTCTCACTTTTTCTATATTTTTGCATCCAGAATAATTTGGATTTGAGGCTTAATAGTAAACTTTGAAATAGAATCTATGCTATAACAGGTAAAACTTGATATTCTTAATTCTATCTACTTCTATCTTTTTAAAATAGTTTGTATGTAAATCTTTATACAGTCAACTCTCTATAAATGCACCCTCTATAAATGCACACCCTGGGCCTTAATGCTAAATGCATGGTTTATATATATATATATTCTGTAAATGCAAAAAATTTTATTATATAGTTTACTTATAAAATTTTTGTATTACCTTAATTTTAGATTAATATCATATAGATTTATATGTATTCTATAAATGCACATCCTCTTTAAATGCACTCTTATACCTGGTCCCAAGGGAGGTGCATTTATAGAGAGTTGACTGTAGCCCTTTGAATTCTTTTACATAAAGTTTCCAATGTTATTTCAGAAAGATGCTTTATTATCATATCCTGGAATAATTGTTTCCTTGCCATCTGATCTGAAACATTATTTTTGGCAATAATTTCTTAAACATTTTCTTTAAACTTTTTCTTATATGAATGGTAACACAAAATCTCTTTTTATTTAACCTAAGTAATGTTTTTTCCTTTCAATACTCACTTTTAGAAATGAATAAGCAAGCACAACTTCTATTATCATATCAGTTGTAAGCTTCTAATTTTTATTAATAACTTGAATATCATCTTCATCTATCAACTCTGAAGTCACTTTTATATAAAATCTTGGGCTATTAAATAATCACAGAAAACTTTATTTTTTTGAATAATCCTTAAAATAATACATTTGGTATTATTTTTTCTAATGATTGTAAACTGCTTATATTATCTTTAGTTCTGCAGAATTATTAGGATTTTTTAGAAGTATATATAGAGGAAATATTTTAAGAAATTGAATGCTTACCCTGATCTTAGCTAAACATGGGTATCAAAACTGAAACCTCTTAAAATTCTTTAGATTTTAATATATACAAAATATAGTAGTAATTTCAGAAATGCATTTTTTTTTGAATTCTGATTTCTAAATAAATTTATTAAACTCATCATTAATTTCCAATTATTTATTCATCACTGTATTATTTCCAAATATTTAATCCCAAATCAAATACTTTTGAAATCTCTAATTCTTGAAGTGAAACTTACTTATTATCATTAAATGAACATGTTATGGTTATTTCTTCCATTATATTTATTAATTTCATATTTTTTAAAATGATGATGAGCATTATTTAAAGTGGCACAAATTTTATCAGTTATTCAATTTTTACTATAATTAATTAATTTAAATTTATTGAATTACTGTAAAGTTCTGAATATAAGTATCTCCGAATATAAGCACTCCCAGATTTTTATATTACCCAAAAGTAAGTACACTTTACCAATACTATGATAATTTTGGCCAATATTACAATATACCAAATATATAAATTTAAGCACTCCTATAACAAAAAAAGGTTACTTATATTTGGGATTTTATAGTATTATTAATAATGTAATACAAATAAACTTTTGCTAAATTTTCTACTGATAATCATATCCTTTTTTTTTTCAGTCATTTATCTACAAATTGACCAAATTTACTCACAGTTAACTGCATGAGGAACAATAGAAACTAGTTTTTTTGCAAGTAATTATATATAAGGAGGTAAGTTTATATATTCTCCACCAACTATTATTTGAAAATCATATGGTAATTTGTATAAGATAGAATTCACTAATTTGTATCAAAAGAGTTTCTGCAGATTGTTTTTTGAAATGTTTATATTCTCTAAAATAAGTAGCGATATCAGGAATTTTTAATATTATTACCAAATGTATACAGTTTAAAGCTTTAAACATTTCAGTTTAGATTCATTTTTTAATTTTTTCTGATTGATCAGAATCCATTTTGTGCAATAACTTACTATTCAGTGATCATAAAAAACTGATCAATAACTCATTGGAATCATTTCGTTAAGACAGTTCGAATGATATGAAAAATTGGCAAAAATAACTTTTCATATATTATTACTAAAAAGATGATTTTGGTACCATTTGAACTGTCTTAATAAAATGATTCCAACAAGCTATTGATTAGCTTTTTATAATCACTAGATGGTAAATTATTGTGCAAAATAGATTTTGACCAATTAGAAAAAAACTGAAAAATGGAACTGAATTGAATCATTTGGAGTTTTAATATAGTTGCACTTTAAATTCTTCAATAATATACATCCTTTATACTAATACTTGTTTATTAATAAAGTTAATTTTTTAAAAAAATTTGTATTATATAATATTATATCAAATAAATTTAAAATTTTAAATGTCAAATTTCATAAACCTTTATATTCAGAATGAATACAATATATATGTCACCCAAATTATTTTGGGCGTCCGTA